AATTTCAAAAATATAGAGCAAGGATAGCACATAAATTTATCTCAAGTCATAATAAGAAAATCATATTTAGTAACAATAAATCTATAATATAAGATAATCTTTGTGCTTTTGCATTTGTAAACTTTCATAATGAACTACTTACAGAGTTTCTATCAGGAGATCAGACAAAAAGCACAAATAAGCATACGTTGATCTCTACCAAAGTTATACAGTCTGTGAAAACTGATAGTAAAAATTCTACCTAAAAAAAAGTCATTATTATTATACTGATATGAAAATCATCACTAATAATAGTAAATTAAATCGCTTGTATCACTCTGCACTGGTATATATAGAAATGAAAGATACATTATCTATAAAAAGGAAAAAGAAAGAATAGAAAATATAGAAAATTCAGTTACAAATTTTATACATAAAGTTTTTATATATTTTGGCAAATGTCTAACGTAGATATATCACATATATCATTTTTGACAGTACAGATTCAGATATCTAATTGATTGAAACGTTATATTCTTCTGTTTAGAAATCTCCTTATGTCTTGTGCATAAAATCATTTCTAAAACAAACAGTGCGAAGTAGTAAAAGCAACGAAATTCGTTATAAATATATTCGTTGACGCAAGTGCGTATATGTGCATCGGCTTAATATAAGGTTAACCTTATCCACAAGGTATGCAACACACACTCGTTCAGTCAAGTATAACACTTACTCGAATTCGATGTATATGTCAGAACAGAAATGGATAATGCTTTTTTTCATTCGGCTTCTCAGACGTGCGTATCGTTGTCTATGAAACATTTAATTTGGCGAATGTCGCAACACAATCAATGGTGGCGTACCTTCCACTATTCTTTGGGTGCGTTCCACTTAACGTCTGCAACGCTCGCAGCGTCCGCAAATCCGTTTCACATAACGACCGAGATCGTTGTGGTCGCGATCAGAACGTCATTAATAATGATCGCATCGAGCTCACGACGCTCACGGTAGGTGGGTCGGCGCGGTCGTTTAAGATTTCGCCCACAGCGCCCGCAAGGTAGTGGAACGGTAAATATTGCGGTCGTGATCATAGTCGTTGCGAGCGATAAATGGAACGCACCCTAATTATACCGTGGTATGGTACAGGATAAGAAAATTAGGCAAGAAAATGAACCATCAGAATCAGAATCTTTCATTTCCATTGGAAGGTAGAAATGGAGGATTATGATTGGTTTATTTTGTTATGCGTTGTATGTATTATGCGTTATGCAGAAGTGTGTGCTGCGGCCCTAAGAATGGTTCCCCATGCAGCGTAATTTACGAAGCGTAAACTTGCGTCCCAACCAATCAAATCGTCTAATAAGAGTCTAGACGGTTTGTGTAGAGTAGCTGAGACAATTTAATTGGATGATGCAGTTTACGCTTACACAAGTTACGCTGCATGGGGAACCAGCCTTAATTAATGATAACGGCTATTTCGTCTATTGATCAATTCGATCAATTAATATTTCCGATATCCAATAGAAAAATATGTTCTCTGTAAATAAGTGTTTTGTCTAGGAACCCTAAAAAGAAATCTTGAAATAAATAAGTATGCATGTTTATGAAGCAATAATATCATTATACATTGCTGCAAAACTGTATTTTTGTCAATAATCTGTTATATGGATAATCAAACTCAACTGAAAACAATAACAATATAATTTTAAATAAAAATCAAATAGCTTCGTGTTGTAGATATTCAAGTAAATATCAGAATGATAATAAATTATTAAATTATACTACAAACTAATTATTTCAATTTTTACAATTACGCGAGCTTCCATAAGACCATCTTTAATACTATCTTGTTGATGGCAATGATGAGAAAAACAGTACTTGGAACATCAGAGTATATATATAATATATATATACTTGTTTTGTTTTGGTATGGCTTGCGCGGTATAACAAATAAATAGCGCGTTAAAAATATGATACGATAAAATATTTAGGAATATATATAGTTTTGATGTTAGAAAAGAGAATCTGTGTAAGATTGCAAGATTTACAAAGTATAATATAAGTTGTATACCTGAGAATCTGTCTTCGATCATGTTACTACAAGTTTGATTGATTTCTGTTCAAATAAGAATTCAAATAAGTTATTGAAAATAATGTTATTGAAAACACAATCTGTTATGATTTGAAAGATATTTTTGAACTAAGATCATATTAACGGTATCAATTAGGTTGATTTTTTATCCATTTTAATATTCTTGTAATATTCATAGAGGATTTTTACGCGAAACAATTAATTTGTCTGCAGTATCAATAAATTAATAACGAATTTGTTTAAAATCTTACAACAAATTTAGTATTATTAGTGTCTGCATTGAACTCGTGCTTTAATAAATCGAACAAAATCTATTATTTTGCAATTTGTTATTTTTAAAAGGGAATATATTTAAATGATTACAAAATAGTAGATTTTGTTTGGTTTCTGTAGTCAATCTGACATAATAGTCTGTTAACAAATTTTATTGTATCTCTGTTATTATTCTATATAATTTATAACAGATTGTATCTGTTTGACAGATTTGACTATAAGATAAAAATATAAAATTCAGTCTCATGAGTAATAACAAGCAAGGATTTATTGCTGTACATGTTGGTATGTAATCGTTTGGATATGACTTATGATTAATATTTCTAGCTAAATTATAAAAATTGTTATATTTTTGTTGATAGGTGCTGGACAGCATTCAGCATCGCTCAAAGAGAAATACCAAAAGCTGTGTCGTGATGCATGCAAAGCAGTAAGATTTTCAAATTAATTAGCTGCAATATATATTTAATTTAATTTTATATATTTTTTATAACTATTATATTTTATTAGGGAGCTCAAAGTTTGAAAGCTAATGGCAGTGCGTTAGATGCAGTAGTCAAAACAGTAGTGATATTGGAAGATTCTCCTCTGACAAATGCTGGGTTTGGATCAAATCTTACATTGAATGGAACAGTAGAATGTGACGCGAGTGTAATGGATGGTAGTAGCTTGCAATATGGTGCAGTTGGTGCGGTTAGCGGAATAAAAATCCTATTTTGTTAGCAAAGCGTTTATGCGAACAACAATCCATTAAGTTTGCTTATGGGAGAATCCCTCCTAGGTATTATTTGTAGCATAATTGTATTAATATTGTTATATATTGTTATTAATTTTTGTTTTCTATTAGTTTTCTAGTTGGAAATGGGGCTCACATTTGGGCGCATGAAATGGGCATACAAATCTTACCACCAGAACAATTGATATCAGGTATCATATAGAATAAATATAAAAATATATTATATTAAATATATTATTAAATACAAATTTATATAAATTGCAATATTTAGAGAATATCTTTCATTTATTTATCTAATATATTTTTCAAGTGAGAGCCCAGAAGATATATAAGCATTATAAAAGAAAAGTGGAAGGCTGCAGTGCAGAAGTTATGAAAGTATGAAGAATTATTTAAGTAATATTAGCTCGATTTTAAATACAAAAAAAAATTTACAAAACAAAAAATTTGTTTAATTATACTACAGTGTGCTAAGAAAAGGATGGATACAGTTGGTGCAATATGTGTTGATAATAGTGGAAATATCGCTGCAGCTTGCTCAAGTGGCGGTATAATCTTAAAATATCCTGGAAGAGTTGGACAGGTATGATTTATTATCAATATTTATATATTCTGTATATATTAATTTTGTTATTTTTGTCAAATATTATTTGAATGTTTTTGATCTAATTTTAGGCTGGAGTATGGGGCTGTGGTACTTGGGCTTGCAAAGATGCTTCCTATTCGGTAGGCACTAGTACTTCAGGTTGCGGGGAGCATCTTGTACGCACCTCATTAGCACGTACAGTTGCAGAAGCAATTTCAGATACATCTTGTCCAACTACGAGTTTGCATCGAGCAATGAATACTGATTTTATCGGTACATTATAGATTTAACATATAATTACATGATAATCGATTATATTAATGATAGTTATCTGTTTTAGATTCGAAATTTCTCTGTGGTCTTGAACAAAAACTTGGTGGCGTCATTGCTATAAGATATTCCTCACAAGAAGGATTAGGTGATTTTCTCTGGAGCCATTCCACAAATTCTATGATAATAGGTTACATGAATACATGCGAACAGGCGCCAATGGTATATAATTAATTTCTTTTTTAATACTATAAATTTTTTATATATATAACAGTATGTATGACTTTATTTCCAAGCATTAACTTATATAAAATAATTGCGAATTGTTAATATTATAAAATGGAAGTTATATGTATTAAAAATATATTTTATTCATAGAGTTACATGTCAGCCTTGCCATCACATGAAGTAGGCAAGAAAGCTATCGTCGAAGGTGTCTGCTTCAAAATGACAGGAAATATCTCTGAGAATAATCATCTCCAATAATCTTTTGTAAAAAGTTGTTTATAACTTTGACAAGTTTTTATATACAAATTTTTATATAAAACCATATTAATTTCATGAAGTACATAAATGCTGCCAAGTTGAATAATTTTTCACAATCACAATTTTTTACAACATATTTTTCCTAAATGTTATATTGTTAATTTATATAAATACAATGATTAATGATTATTGTTAATGTGTGTAAATATAAAGACTTCTAATAACAGTTTGAAATAATTTCTGATCTATATTCTAAACAAATATTTGTGTATTCAAAATTAATACATAATACATGATGTAACACTACAATACAAAATGTATCTCACATATTATAATCAATAGAATACAAATAGCGATGATAAAAAATTACTCATTTTTTTTTAATAAATTTATAAATAAAAATCTAAGTATTTAACTATTCTCCATGATATCCGAATTCAAACAACAAATTTTTATAAGCTACTGCACTTTACACATTTTTGTATATTATAAGAAACGAATATTGGACTTAATTTTATTTTAATTTCAGATTAATAAATGGAGTCAGATTTAATTTAAATCTGATTCCATTTATTATAATTATATATTTTATATATATTTTGAATTGATAAATATATACATTTTTTGTAAACTAAATTCTGCTCTTTAAATAATCATAATCGCTACTGTAGTTTGTATCAAATTTATTTTTATAGTTATAATATAAAATTATATACAATTACAAACTACCTATATCATTGAATCGTTTCAATTTCTCGGGGAATACATCTTTAAAAAGTACTGGATCTGCACGAAATTCAACTGATTCCAATGGCATAGTCCCATAAATAGAAGAAAATTTATTTATACATTGTGTACGTTCCACCATGTGCGTTAAATCCGCGGATAACATTTCGGTATTGGTACACTCAGGACATCGAAATTTTTTCTTTGGTGTCACCTAAGATTTTTATATGATTCTTATATAATGTCGACACATTAATCAAAAGTTATTAATTACTACCTTTAATGGAGCTTTTCCAGTAATATTTGCTACTAGAAAATTCATCGCGATGTCCTCGCAATTCATGTGTTCATCTACCCATTCTTTTATATCTCCAGGCATGGCTGTAGTATACATATAATTCCAAAACTGAAAGATATCAAATAGCATTTTTATAATTATATATTCTATTAATATAATCTATTATACATATAAGATATGGTGCGATTTACTTTAATGGATTAAATTATACATTCTTGGTAAGGATAACAAGGGAGGATGGTTTTATGTTAGAAAAAAGATCTAAGGATTTTTATAATAATATCTTTGTGACCTGAAATATCAAATAAAAATGTTAGATATAAAGTTATTAAGTATTTAATATTTTGAATAAAGGACAACATAAGCGTTTGTAGCATTTACTTTGTGGTGAAAAGCTGCCCCTGTTAAAACCATGGAAATACTGTTTGTCCATTCGCTTTCATACTTCCAACAATTGGTACCATTATCCCACATATGTAAACGAGATGGAAATCCAACGATTCTATCCGGAAATTCTCTCCATACCTACAAGTTTGTGCCAAGTGAATGCTTTAATTAGTATTGATAAATATAATAAAAGAATGTTATATATAATTTTTGATATAAAACTAATATTTTAAATGTACCTCATATGCAAATTCTACTTCATCAGCGGTTAACATAATAATATCATCATCTATTGATAATACTGCTTCGGTTTCAATTTCATCATATGGATAAAATCGGTTAGACAATTTATTTTCTTTCGTTTGTATCACTTTTAATGGTTTACTTACTTTTGGCCACCTAGTAGCTACAACATTACAATTTTAAATTGCAAATAAAATTAAAATATATTATAAATAATGTATACACTCTCTCTTTCTTTCCCTCTTTCTCTTAAAATTTAATAATCAAGATAAGTTATTACAATGTGGGGGATCTTTATGTTGATTATTCCAGATTACCAAAACTTTAGATAGACTGGGCACTTTAACAAGTTTATTGATTAATAGGAACAATAATTCCAGTCTATCGTATGTTAATATTACAGCAGTGAAGCCACGTGTTTTAGGAGCAGTTACTGGAAGAAAGAGTGGTGAAGACTTTCCCTGTATAAAAGAAATGATTTTCTTGATATATATCAGGTTAAACTTTCTCGTTTTAAATAACTTCTTATATATATTTACCTTATAGGGTGATACATTCCAATATGTATAATCTCGTGTTAAATGTGGAAATATGCGATCTGCAAGTATTTCTAACGTAGTTTCCGTAATTTTTTCCATCGAACTGAAATAACGATCATAGAGCCATGCATTTTGTTCTTGCATTTCCATAATGCGTTGATGAGATATTTTTTTTAGCAATTGTATTGTCAATAGAATGTCAACTTCACGTATAAAAACAGCAGCTCTGATGACAAGATAATTATAAATTACATAAATTATGTACCAAAAGACAATATAATAGATATTTATATCTTACTTGGTCCAATCAATTACGTCATGAAATGGCATCATTAGAGAGTCAGCTACAATCACAGGTATACAACCAGCCGCCATTGCATCTAAAAGTGTACTTTGAGCAAGTCTAGCACCACGTATTACCAAACAAAATGTTGCTATCTGAAATATATTACATGAAATATATTACAAATATATTACATATACATGCTTATATATTAATGTATTAATATATTAATGGTATATACATTTTCTGTAATAATTTACAGAAAAATTTTGCATTGATTATAATCATATTACTTGAAGAATATCTGGATATTTATATATATCCTCCCCCAGGCAACGTATTGTATTATTCATTGGATTAAAATGCAGGCATGGACCAAGCACTAGAATGTCTTTTGGATATGTTGTTTTGATTTCCATCAAATCTTGTTCAAAGGCAGTATTAATATTGATCTGCGAAGACATTACTAACCATGTTCTACAATGCAAAATTATTACTATATGTAATATATGATAAGAAATAATAATGCAAGACATTACCTTATATTACTATAATTTGCTTTCAGATTATTTACAAGTGGGCTATAGATTGGTAAACTAATGTCAAAACTAGGTCTGTATATCAGTGATGACATTCCAGCACCTGCAATCATTGCTCTTCCTACTGATACATCAATAACAGTGTTATAATCTGGTACACTTCCAGGTACCATGTTAAAGATTAAATGATTCTCCCCTTTATTCCAATAAGGTAGTGTTCTTAATACCTGAGAGACCTCTTGCAATCTCAATCTATTTTGATTGAGGGTATCAATAGAAGGGATAAAAATGCAAGCTTCATATGGATTAGGAGTGTAAAATTTACTATTAATAATGGCATTCAGAATTTGGTAAAATTCCTTTGTCATTTGACCAATTATTGGTTTACCCATAGAATCTAAGTACGTCTTAAGTGGATAGACATATACTAGCAGTTTGTTCCCTTGACTACCACATCGATACACGTTGAAACAAGTGAAATATGTACAGGAAGAATTGGTTGCATCTGTTTCAACTGAGTCAATGGATAACATTTGAATAGGCAAAGCATTTATATCGTTCAGCGTTATAGGAACATGTTCGGAATGTTTTTGTATGTTGCCAAACTTGAAAATATGATATACTGAGATCAATACAACAAACAATGTAAATAATAGTAAACATATCACAAAGATATTGTGATAATGATATGAAACTCTGTTTGTTTTATGTGATATACGTGTTGGAAATACCATTTCGGCTTTTTCTTTCTCACAGAATATCGTAATGTATTGCATAAATTTCATTCAAGTATATAAATCTTTCTTGTAATAACTTAAAACACAGGATATTTTTATATGTTCATTTGACATATTAATAAGAGCTGTCACACGTAAACGTTTACTTCAGTGTGTATGCAATAAAAATAACTCATTATTAATTATCACACTTCCTCGTTTTTTTGGTTTATAAAATTATTATTACACAATTAGCATAAAATTAAGAACACTAATGTAAATACAATGTATCATAACCTGTCAGTAGTTTTTCAACTTTGAAATTGTCGAAATGATAGTTCGAAATGAGGTTATATTTGCAAAGAGTTTGTTCATTTTTCTGTATTTAGATCCTGCACACAATAAAAGAACAGAATTAGGAAGAATAAATATTAAATTTGAAAATAAAAACTAGGAATAGAAATTAAACATAACGTACAATGGACACAAGTAAATAAAACATAATTATATATTATATTTACTTATGTTTATTTTGCATTACATTTAATTTCTATTCCTAATTTTTATTATCAAAATTTAATCTTTATTCCTGCTTCTCCTTATCACAGGACTTTAAATATTATTTCATTTGACGTTCAACAAAATTTTCGAATATGTTGATTACAAAAATAAAATAACAAATAAAAAATTTTTCAAAACATTAAAATCTTATTATTGTAAAGTCAATCAAAGATTAAAGAGTCGATTGTGTATTTTAAAGCAAAATGAAAATTATAAAAGTGAGATAATTCACTAGAGTACCTGCAATTTCATTTGTCAAAAGCTAGTAAATTTCCTCAGTTTTCTAATTTTCACTTCATTTCAAGATACTCAATTGACCCTTAAATACAAAGAGTAAAGTAAATTCAAAGGCCGGTATTCATAATCTGTTTTTATATTTAAGATCGTCTTAAATAAGCTCATACAATTATCCTATTGGTTGAAATGTTATCTCAAGATGATCTTAAAAATAAGAATTGACTATGAATACTGCCCATAATTAGTTCTTATATTTAAGATCGTCTTAAGATTACATTTTAACCAATAAGATGACCATATAAACTTATTTTAGAACATTTTACATATAAGAACAAATTATAAATACAGCTTTAAGTTTATTCCTTTTAAAGCTATTCTCCATCAATCAATCGTATTTGTTGTTAATTTGTGCACAAATTGCGATTGGTCAATTCCAATAGAATAACCGATCGATTAAATTAACCGGAGTGTATGAAAATGGTTCTGAACGCACCCCTGTGCTATAAATATTTAACGAAGGCTTGAGAATCAGTCATTATACGCACACATTATTGCCGTGCATTGAAAACACCGCCATTACATCGCCCGCGAAAAGAAATATGGCGGCGGTGATAGGCTGGTGACAATTTGATATGGGATGGGCGTCACGCTAAACGTAGGAACGCAACTTTTTTTTCTCCCGCCGTAATGATAATGAGTGGTGATACCGCGACGTATGAACATGGCGATCATTTGACACTGCAGTCGTTCTCCGATCCAGACGAGTCGCGGTTACTGGCGTTGCTCCTGTTATTGCTGGAGATCGCGCAAGGGTAGCAATACCGTTCTCGAGCACCCGCTATATTTCTGTCTTACATACAGTGGCCCACTATCGAAAGCCAAGAGGAGGACGCGCCACGAGATTGGTTAAAAAGAAGAAAGAGAAAAGAGATAATCTCTCGCACGCGCGCCGCAAGAGCGTGTCAGGAGGTGTAAGGTATCACGAACGTTCCGGAGGCTGCGACGCGTCATCGAGAAGAGTGACGCGCATCATATGTGCAAAGATGGCACGGGAGTACGATCATCTGTTCAAGTTGCTCATCATAGGAGACAGCGGTAAATACGCGTATGCGACACCACTGTCGCGATCAAACGTTCGCGGTAACGCGTGGCTCGGACTCTTTGTCAGTTGTATTCTTCTATGGTTTTAAGCCTAACCTTTGTTTCTATTTCTATTTTTTCCCTTTCTCTCTTTCTCTCCTTCCCTCTTTCTTTCGCGTTCCCCTCCTCTTTCGTAAATTTCACTCCGGATACGGGAGATATAAAAAGATCGCAGCGGAAAAGGAGGGATCCGCGTTGCGCCGAGCATTGTCCATGCCCGTCGCTGATCGTCTGTCATTATGCAGTTTTAACGGCAATTTATTAAATGATGAGCCCGACAATGGGTATATGCTGGCTATCCACAGCAATGCTGATGCAGCTTAGATTTCATAATGTGAAAATTGTTCATGATGCGCGACAGATTTAGAATGGCAATAGATAATACCGCGTCGCGATAAAGGGAAACTACGAGTAATAAGGAAACAAAGATATTTATATCATTCATTTATTTCTCATAATTAATCTTTCCCTTGTAATTTTTATTAGTGCTAAGATGGAAGATTTAGATATACTCTTATTTTTTATAATGTTGATTATATGTTTATAATTAAATAATTTTATCTTTCACATATTTTATTAGATAGAAATAATTGTACATATGATAAGCAATTAATTGTACATATGATATAAAGCATCTTGTTATATGTAATAGAATATTAAAATATATGTTGCAGCATGATATTTCAAAGATATTTATATCTTTATGTTATTTTTGTTTTTAAGGTGTAGGTAAAAGCTCGTTGCTTTTGAGATTCGCCGACAATACCTTCAATGGCAGTTATATTACTACAATAGGAGTGGACTTTAAGATACAAACTGTGGAGGTAGATGGTGAGCGAGTAAAGCTGCAAATTTGGGATACCGCTGGACAAGAACGTTTCCGGACAATAACTTCAACTTACTATAGGGGAACACATGGCGTTATAGTTGTGTATGATGTGACCAGCGGTGATACGTTTGCGAACGTTAAACGGTGGTTGCATGAAATCGAACAGAATTGTGATGTGGTTAACAGGGTATTGGTAGGAAATAAAAATGATGCACCTAATCAAAAGGTGGTGTTAACGGAAGATGCGCAAAGATTTGCCAATCAGATGGGGATACAGTTATTTGAAACCTCTGCCAAGGATAATATAAATGTTGAGGAGGTATGTGTTATGCTAATTTTTTTTTATTAATATTTTTATAAAATTAACATAAAACTAAAAATTTCAAACTATTTTATAATTATTCCTTTATTATATCGAAATAAAACTATTTTATCAAAATGTAAAAATAAATGAGTGAATATGCTATACTTTATTACAAATTAATAACAATATGTTTGTAGATGTTTATGGCAATAACTCGGCAAGTATTACGGACCAAAAAAGAGCGCAAAGAGCGGCAAGCGATACAGACTAATGAGACAGTCAACTTGAGGAAAAGCACAAAACAGCATAGGAAAAAATGTTGTTAGCGAGCATTGTATAAGCACATTATTCCTTATAAACAAAATATTCTTTGATACGATAATTAGGACAGAATAAAACAGAGAGCATATGTTAGTATCACGAGCGGACATGCGACGTTGGAAACCCTGATATTTTCTAATACCACCAACTGAGTTTTGTATTCCAATTACGATACCTAAGATTATATCTCAACTAAAATATACTTTTTTGATGTTAGTATTTAATATAATAGAATCGAACAAGGACATAGAGCTTATTTAGTGAAAATAATTGTTTATACGGCATTTAATATGTTAAATATTTTCGCGTGCTGCGTTACAAAGAACAAAGGCCTATTCATTTGTAATATTTGAAAGAGTAACTCTTACATATATACATTAAAAAAAATCATTGTTTCATACATACAAACGTGATTCATCATGTGATTATTAAACAAAACAAAATATAAACATTTATCTCGAATATCTTCCGCTAATTTTTCAAAGATTATTTTGATTATTATATAAAATTTTGCTGCATTTGACAGTTACCATATGCTAAATAAGTCGTATTTAAAGCAAGTAGGATTAAAGTTTCTTGAACAAACAAACGACAAATATTATTAGTTGATTCAAATAATTTTTAGGACATTTTAATAAAATTAAGGTTCCTGTAGTATGATGACGTGCTCTAAAAGATTTAATCGGATATATGGAATGTATTAGCGATGTAATAATGTGCGTTACAACTGATGTACAAAAAATTGCTATTCGAAAATTATAAAAATTGCTTGATCGTATGAAATTCAATACTTCCTGTATTCAAAAGACTGTCACAAAAATTTAAAGACTAATCAATTTGGTTTATTTATAATAATTATTTACGATATGCATTTTGTATAGTTTTATAATTGTTTTTGTCAAAATTTTAGAATTGAATATAGAAGTAAGCATACAATTCGTACAACATTTAAAAACACATTTTAAAAAAATTTTAAACAAAATTATCGAATATGATCTTATAATTTATAAAAAAAAATGTACTAGTAAAAATTAATTATATATATATATTCCAAGACATTGGAATACGAAATATTTATATCGCGAATATCATTAATAAAATATTAAACAGTATTATCTCATTTTTTAATTCTGTATACGATCTAATGTATCTTAATAGCTCTGTAACGAATTAAAGGTAAAAAGCTTGTATATTGTTACGTCCGAATTTTATACTCAAATATATAAATGCGCAAGTATATTTTAAATTGTCCACGCATTTGTGACGAATACATACGCATATTCACACGCATACACACAAATATTTATTGCAGAAGGGTAGATAGCAAGATGATAAAATATAACGATCGGTCATGTCCAGCTATGACAGAAGCTGTCTGTATTAATCTGTGATAATAGTTAAGATAATGTCGCCAGCTGCCACTGTAATACTGCTGCGTGTACCTACCCCCTGCTCTCGTGTAATTGTTGTAATTAATATCGCTATTATTTCTTTATTTCTTTTTTTTTTCTTTAGTATTACATATCTCCCTTAGAGGCAATTAAAGCGACATCCTACAATGTGTACATATTTTCAACTTGCCAGTTTTAGTGGCATATTCACGAAATGTTTCAATCGAGCATATTCAATCTTGTTTACTGTTATACAGTTACGACGTTGTAATATTATTATACGTACGACAAATAAATAAGGATCATGTATGTATCAAACAAGTATTTTTACTCCTGTCTATTGAGTTGATTTTTGCTCAAATTAGCTCAATATATATAATCTTTTATGTAGTATTTAAAGACATGTATTTAGCAAAAATTTTAAATTCATATAGATATATATTTTGAACAATATGAATCTAACCAATCCAAAGTGTTGCATTGTTTGATAAATTCGAATAATGTTAAAGATTTGAATCTTGTACTATATATATATTTTGTATTTTACTTAAACTTAAGTTCAAATATTCGTATAAATATATTCGAGCTTGAAAAATATTAACAATTTAAAATTCATTATCAAATTTTCCGCTGAACATTGCCAAAAAGTTTAGATTCAAATCATTATTTTTTTATTTGTGCGTGATTCTGATACTTATGATTACATATCTGTTATTATCGGCTAGCATTAATTGCGAAAGTATGATTTCGAAATTTATGCTTCAGTAATAAAGCAGTATTTATGTAGCATGTAGAAGTAGATGTTCATGTTAAAAAAATAAGCAATACTATTCGGTAAAATACTAAATAAGCAATAGTATTTTTTTATATCTATTTGAAGGCATATTTTCAATGGAGGTACATACGAATAGTATTCGCAATATATGTAATGTATAACTTTTATGATTATTTTTAAGATATAAAAATGTACACTTATGATATATATCGTTTTACGAATATAATAAAATATATTGAATGATTTTATGAACATAAAATGTCAATATTATTATTTATATTTTACCTATACATTCGTAAAAAATAAATATTAGAAATAAGCTTGTACTACACTACTAAAGAGATTTTGTCTTGACGTTCTTACTGTCATTTTATTTTTTAGATATTTTTTTCATTTTTGTATTAGGCATTGTTTTTTTTCTTGTAATTTATTTCGTAAAATTATTACTAAATTCTTATTATTATCATATTATTATTATTATTATTATTATTATTGTACTAATTGCAACCGGTAACATAATGTTCATAAGAAAAATAATTTTTTAGTCGCTGTTTTTAGATGATAAATTTTAATAAAGATGTGTCTGTTTTGATGTTTTATTAATGTTTCCTGTTTAATATTAGATTAATAAGAAATTATATTTGACTTATGTACATTAAAATAGCGAAACAGTCGTTGTATTTGCAATTGTTCTGCATAATGAGAAGTCTCTGTAAGTGCATCGAATGAGCATCTGGAATAAATTAAAATGTCTCACTCACTCGCATCGTGAAATTTCTTCATTCGTACAATCGCGTGCATCTCGCATATTTTCTCAAAAGTTTCCATTGATTCATCACATATCGATTAAAACTAACATTGTCTGTTTTTCGATAAAATTGTCTTCTAGAAAATAAATTGGTAAAATATTCTGATAAATAATACTTCGTTTTACTTACAGAGAAGTACAAATCATTTAATATAAAATATTAATTAATAATATAAAAAAAATCATGAAAATTTATAATTGCATATCGCGATCGTATTTGTAACTGTAATTTCTTCTCGTTATGTCGTCGAATCAATCGACATGACAAATGCACTATGATGTTTTCAAATTTGCAGCAATTCCATTAATTAGCGTATAAATTGTCTCGTAAGTCCTTGTGGAACGATACTTAAATATTTTAAGTCTGAAATTGGTGATTAAACATGAAGAGAAATCAGAATGTGTCTTTTCCGGACAATCTAATGAATAATATTGCAAATAGCATGCATATTAAATTACTTTTAGATTATATATTTTAATCATTATACATTATGTTTGTAATAAACAAGAAATTCTTATTATAAAGTTTAATGTGTCAATATTAATGTGTTTGTATTTTCAAATTTGTATTATTGTGTTCTGTAGAAGGACTCGGCTATATTTATCTCATGCGTGTAATCACGCATTTTCTTCATAATAATATTGAAAGCGTGACCATATCATTGGTCTGTATAGAATTTAATAGTTTAATAGGAATCAAATAGTTGATTCTCGCAGATTTAATATTCATAAACAATTTGGAAACAGTCGCCGAGTATAGAAGATGATTGACATTCATTCTTTTTGGATCCGCAAGTTTTACATTTTTCGGAATCGCCGAATGATGTACCCCGCGTAGTATAATTAATTAAATGTAATTTGCTTATTAAATAAATCGGAGTGCAGTTCAAAATAAAAAAACATTTTTCATATTGTTCGATAAATTCCTACATCTTGTTATTTATTATATCTATTTATTACAGAATGTGTTGTGTATTACGTTATAAATGATGTCTCAGGATATCGTGCAAGTTCTTTACTGCATTTACGATTGTTTTTATGAATATAATATAATATTACATTTTAAATACCCCGACATCCTCGTCAGTTAATCGAAATATTTATTTGCGTGACATTCGCACTTTTCTCATCAGATGTGAAGTATAATTGTGTAATTATGTAATTGCAAAACTGTAGACTGTAATAAGATATCTTGGAAAAGATTGATTGATTCTATGTTGATCGACTGAAAATTCGTTGATCGAAAGATAAAAAGTGATGGATAAGAATTATTTATTATATTGACCAAGACAACTTTGAACTTTCTAAAATTTTTTAGTAAGACAGAAATTGTTCGCATCGCTTGTCATTTGTTTTGTACAGAAGAAACAAAAAAAATACAAAAAAGAAAGACGAAAAAAGACAGGAGAGAGAAGAGAGAATAGAGAGAGGAGAAGAGGAAAGAGAGAGAGAAAGGAGAAGGAGAGAAAAGAGGGAGGGGAAGAGAAAAGAGAGAGGAG